TGTTTTAGTTTGCTCTAAAACAGCAGATTTTTTTTTATTTTTTTTTAATTTTAATTTTTATTTTTTTTTTTTATTTCATTGAAATTTCCTCAAATTATTATTGAATTATCTCCGCTTTATATTATCAGTTTAAACTTTGCTTATATTAGGCTTACCAAGCGTACGTCAAAGTACTTCATATCAGTCTCTTCTTTGAGCTGAACTATTGAGCATATGAAAGCAAATATATAATTATAATTTTTACTATATTTCCTCTAGAAAGTTCTTTAGTTTAGTTAGCTTATGTAAATCTTCACAGAGCTTACTCACTCATATTTCACTCTTCCTTTCCCCATAGAGGGTATCAAATGTTGTGTTGAGCTCTCTCAGCAATACTTTCACGCACTTCGCATCGTGAGCTGATAATTGCACAAGCTTTATAAATTTGATAGTCGAAATATATATTCGTATGAGTATGTAACAATTTGTCTAGCCGCCCGTTCGTTGGCTGGGGCTGTGGCTGTGGCTCGTGGTCGGTCGCTGGAAACCTTATCAGCGCTCGTAGCGAGTTAGAGCTTCAGCTCGAGATTCACGTGTTGTCGGTTATAAAGCGATTACGGCTGATGCCGCGATCGACACTCGATTGCCAGTAGCCACTCGAGGCACAACCAAATACCGGACCGGTCCAACAGCCAAGCCCAAAAGAAACCAAAGATCAGACAGATTGACAGAGTCAGAAAAAGAGAGAGAGAGAGAGACAGAGAGAGAACGAGACTCGTTGACGCTCCAATTGGCACACGGGTGACGCCGTTGCGATAAGAGCATAATATAATAAAAAGCAAAACTATATAAAGAGACGTCTTGCCAAGAAAATAAAAAGTGAAAGTTGGGATAGCCTCGTCCAGTTGCATTTGTAAGAGTCAATTACCGGAACCAAATGGCATTCGCACTGACAAATCTGCTGCAAACGCTGCGCATTGGCTCGCTGGGCATCAACAAATCGGATGCCAGCGACGCGATGCTAGTGGAGAAGGCCAAGGCGAAGATCGACTTGCAGTTGGCTGTGCCGGAGATAACGCTGGAGGAGGTGGCACATCATGATAGCTTCGACGATTGCTGGATTGTCATCTACGATCGGGTCTACGATGTCACGCACTTTCTGCGCGAGCATCCTGGCGGCGATGACGTCATCATGGACCATGCCGGAAGAGATGCGACCATTGCCTTCCACGGCACCGGACATTCACGCCACGCTGTAGAGCAAATGCGTCAGTTCCTGATCGGTGAGCTGCCCCCGGATCAATGCATCTTTCGCACGGGCCAGAACAAGGTTCTGTCCTCGGGCATACCGGATTGATTGGCAGGGGAAGGCATCCCAATAGCTTGCCGTCCGATGCTTTAGCATTTCTATAATATATATATACATA